GAATTGATTACATACAAGATTTTTAGCTTTATCGAATAAGATTTGGTGTCCTGTTTCTCCAATGTATTCATTGCCGCATATGCATTTAAGCGGCAGTGTGGAGGTTCTTTTGGGCCTTTTGGAAGGTGAAGCGTATTTTGTGGTGGAACGCTTAATAGCTCTTATATGGAAAGATGTTTTACTTCTGCGACCAGTGACTCGAGTTGAGAGAGTTTGAGGCTCTATAAATACGAGATTTGATAACCGATGATTGTTGAGCCGGATGGTTATATGACAATGGTATCCGTCTAAATGACCCTATGTTATTTTTGATTTTCTATTAATAAGAATGTCCTAAAATAATAGATTATTATTAGTTTCTAATTCAATAGTAAAACATACGTTAGGGTGTATAGGAGGGATTCTTGTCCATGAGCTCAAATAACCAAAATATCATCAATATAACGTTTCCATAATTTTGGTTTTATATGGAAAGTGTGAAGGTTTTCTTCTTAAAACCTTCCATAACTATGTTAGCGATATCTTTTATATGGCCGCCAAAAGTCACGTAAGCTGAGTCAGGACGGACGAGCGGCATACCGGTCCAGCTACCGCAAGAATGAACGGCAGTACGACATAGACCGAAGAACCGAAAGGCAATGTTGTAATAGGTGGTCAAATGAACAGTGCTTTGGTTTTTGGGGAGAGTTTTATTCAGGGTTGAAACCCTTACGCCACCCCTTAAGTTAACATCGGAAGTGGGATAGTTCCTGTCCAGTGTTGCAAAAGCAATTGAATCTTACAATAGATTCGAACGGAGATAATGTATCACCTAGTGTCTATTCCTGAACTTTCGAAAAGGACAGTGCAGTGGCAAGAAACTTTAATTAATTTAATCGCTGCCCAACAACAACAATCCCGTAGCAGTTGGACCAAGTACGCAAGCGTCAACATCGACACTTAAATTAACCAGCTACGATCTAGACAATAACGCTTACGCAATCCGTGAGTGGTTAGAAGACGCTACGAAATTAAAAGACGAATTAAACGTCGGCGATAATTTAATGATCGCTAGGGCAAGCGAGGCTGTGAAAAATTGAGGTTATCGATACTGTTGCGAATGGCGGCCGATCCGCCGAACATGGGAAAATTTTTGTGCTGATCTCATGACTGTGGTTTCTGATAAAGAAACACCCGGGGCATTTAAAGCTGTCAGAAACTTCGTAGTACATACAGGTTTTATGAAAAATTGTCCTGGGACAAGGTTTTAAGTATGGTTGAATATGGTTTAGATCGCGCAGAAGTACGTACCTCGCTCCATTTACAACTACCGCAATCCGATAGTGGAGTTTTGACATTACTAAGCGAATATGATGCAAGACGAAGTGTAAAACGTGTTTTGGAAATCGATGATATGCCTAAAAGAAAATTCCGTTTCAGGGAAAAACGAGAGGTAAGCCATAAAAAATCCAAAAAGACTTTAAAAGGATCATGTTTTAATTGTGGCCGCCAAGGACACCATCGTGATACTTGTCGCAATAAACACGATTCACTAAACGTAATTCGAGAAAAGGCTCCAGGTTCACCCAAGTTCCAACTTGCAACCATAAAGTAAGAAAATTGGCCACGGTGAAAGTGATTGTTGGTATAAGAATGGGAAACCCAAAAAGACATTTTTATTTAAAAAAAATGACGCCATTGGAACGCAACACCAACATCGACGTTATTGTGCAAAAATAGTGCTCTCTCTTTTTCTTATTTGATTGATAGTGGTGCCGATGAATCTATTATAAAGCATTCTGTAGCTTAAATGTTAAATAAGATAATCAAAACAGTCGATAAGGTCCGTGCTTTCTCGGGATTTGGGACCCAAATTGTTTATGCTATCGGTGTTTGTAATTTAATCACTGTTATGCCGACGTTGAGTTTGGATATTACTTATCCGGTCGTACCAAATACTGTTATACCAGGGAACATTGACCTAATTATTGGATGGGATGTCATCAGTCGACCTTGTTTACGAATCGAAAAAAAAACAATTTTGAACTCGAATTGCACCATAACCTGCTCAATATTTCGAACGTAATGACTTTAAAAATTGTGGAAAAGATTGTGATTAATCAACCTGACTTAAAAGAGGACTTGAAATTACGAATAGCAAGTCTTTTATTGTTTTACAAAAATAAAACTCCCGACCAGATTATGACTGGTGAAATGACAATAAACTTAAAGGACACTAATCCAGTAGCGTATCGACCTCGTAGGTTGGCATATCAAGAAAGACTTCAAGTTAAGACAATCGTTAATGACCTTTTAGGTGCGGGTATAATTCGTGAAAGTCGCTCAGAATATGCAAGCCCGATAGTTCTAGTATCAAAAAAAGAATGGTGATGTTCGAATGTGCGTGGACCTACGTGATGCCAATAAGAGAATCGTCAGAGAAAGATACCCGCTGCCGCATATTCAAGATCAGATCAATGCACTCTGCCATGCAAAATTCTTCACTACACTAGATATGAAATCCGGCTTCTATCAAACGCAAATTGAAGAAGAATCCAAACACATCACAGTTGATACATTAGAATAAAAACTGGCGCGTTGAGGAGGCAATACAAAACCTGGACAATGTTGTTTATGCGCTCGTTATCCACTAATGCATTTGCTTTGAACTATGAATGAACTATGAAAACAACTTTGACTGCGGAGAAAAAAATGGGATGTCGTACTTCCTGTCATAGAAGAAATCCCAGGCTGCTGGCCAATCAGCAGGTCCTATTGGACGCGTGACCGAGCGATAACTTTGTTGATCCAGACAAAGCCGTCGCAGAGACTGTGGCTGTGGAAGATTCTCAGCTAGCCGGAGGCGGAAAATTGAAACCGAAACACAGAGGATCATTTACTGTTCGTGCAGTACCACCTAATGACCGATATGCGTTACAAAAATGGGGAGGGCGGACTACTGTAGCTGCTCATGAACAAGTGCGTGCATGTCCGTCTACGAATTCGCAAAAAGTCGGTAACGTACGATTATTTACTTTTTGATTGCGTATTTAAAGTAAAAAAAAAAGTGAGATTAATAATGGCAATCCCATTATTAAAAAAAAAGTGAGGTTAATAATGGCAATACTTAAGTTAACAACTATATTCGCAATGACTGATGATACTGGAAAAAACAGCCCAGCTGTTCCTGACCTTTGTTCATAAATTCTCGGAATCTCAGATTCTCGGATTTTAATATATCTGAAATAATGTTCAGAGTTTCATAAATAAGGACGGTTTTTAATTGTTCAATGTAGAAATTAAGTACGAAACAATAAGTTTTCCTTGAAAACGAGACAATATATAAAAACGTGCACAGAACAGTAAAAATAATACAGGTAATATCCATCTACAAAGAGGGAGAGGAGATTTACTGGATAGTCATAGTCATGCTGCTACTATCAAATTAACACTTTTGGTTTGGTTTCCGCGCAAGGCGTTCTATGTCGGATAAAATTCCTTTGTTTTATCGGAAAATTATCAACCCCAGCGAAGCCTTCGATTGCGTAGACCATAATATATGGATGACTTTGGTTCCTACTGAATAAGGGACAGCATATTTTTGCGCACCCTCTTATTTCAATAATAGAGAAGAATATGTTGAAATGCCAGGTACAACCGATCCAAACAACAACAAAATTACGTCAAAGGGACTTAATGTAAAGATAGGAGTGACTCAGGGTTCTGTCCTCGGGTCGTTTTTCTTTATGATCTACATAAACAGTATTTTTGAATGTCTTGACCATGATTATGTGGCTGTATAAAAGATGATAAACAACTGGAAGCAAAAATAAATACAAATCTCGATAATACATCTAAAGCAAATTATATCCGGTTCCATAATCCCCAGCATAGAAACGAACTTTCTCTAACTATAAGAGTTGCTGAGGAAGGAAGAAGGGTGAAATCTAATCTTCGTGTATGCTTTTACAAATTTAAGAAAAATATTAACAAAAAACTAACTTATTAATATGTATCTTGCTAAAATGGCATCTATTCTGAGGTGCGGGGTGCTTGGCCTGAAACAAAAATGAGGGATGTAAGAGCGGACCATTGTGGGCCAGCATTTTTATTTTCGAACTTAATATTCAACAAACAAACACCGATTTACATGAAATGGTGAAACAAGTAGCCTCAATGTCCGCTAATGGTCTAGATTGTGGCCTCAATGGGAATAAAAAAAATTAGTCTGCTGCCTATAGAGATAAAGAACCAAGGGACGCTTAAGAATGTTAAAATGAAACTGAATCAATTTTGAATAAATGACTGTTTTTTTTTATAATATTACTGAATTTTCTAATAAAATGTTTCTAAATAAAGTGTTCACTTGTAGCGACTTGGACCTTGGTCTTCGGTTGAGATTTGTGGGTTGCTATATTTGATCAGTGCTTCTGTACGGTGTTGAAGGCTTGACACTAAGAGTAAAAAACCATAAGCAAATTGGAAGAAGTTGAGATGTGGGTATACCGTAGAATTCCAGCCAGAACGAGAAACGAATGATGTTCTCAGGCGTGTTAACAAAGATCGCGAACTCTTTAATATTGTAAAAAAAAGAAAGACTGCACACCTGGGTCACATAATGCGCAATCATAAATATCAATTTCTGCAACTGATTATTGAGGGCAAAATCGAGGGTAGAAGAGGACTAGGACCAAAGACAATGTCACGTAATGAGGAACGTAAAACAATGGACAAGCATACGCGACATTCAGACATTGATCCACACGGCCAGAGATATACAAGCAATGGAAAATGTGGTAGCAAACATCCATTAATGTATAACAAGATAAAAAAGAAGATATTTTTGGAAGCCAACTTTTTTGAGTAAAAAAAAGTAAAATTACCCTTTTTTTGTCAGTGTATATCATTATCATTCGGGGAAGAGCTTTAATTGCCCTTATCAGCGAAATGAAAAACGCCAAAGATCTGAACCGTAATCGATTATTATTATTATCTGTTTGCTTAGCTCTTTAAGTAGCGCACATTATTTTGTGGCCAATCCAATTAAAAATCCGCCCAAAAATGATACCGAGAACGGCACATTTGTTTTAAAAAATATTATCAACTTGCAGATTAAAGGTACAACGCTCTCCGATGCTCCGGTATCCATCTCGTTCGAATCGTTTACTCGTTGCTCGTTCTCGTATATTTTATCCCAATTTATGTTTATGTAGTTAGCGTCGTAGCCCAACTGAATTAGCAATAAAGCCCCACCGGCCGCTAGCAGCGCAACTCTACCGATCTTCATAGTCAATAGTCCCACCATCCATCCCGAAGAAACTCCTACAATTCTTTGGCTGGACAAGCAGTACTTTACGATTCTTCTGCCGATTTCGAACGCCACTTCGGTCTCTGATATGTCATTTTCCGACACGTGTTCTATCCTCTTACGGTTATTCAAATTGTGAAGATTTCTTATCGATGACATGAGTTTGATACGGGAAACAGCGCGATGTCACCGAAATTTTGTTTGTTCTGCTGGTACTTTTTTGGTTAGGTTTTTGATAGATCTGTAGGAATTAAATAAAGTAGTCGAAATACAATTTTGGCGATTACGTTATAGTGTAAGCATTTCCCATTTTACACTTATAAGTTAGCCCAGGAATTTAGGTGTATGTACGTAAAGTGCTTGACATGTGAATTGGTCAAAACACCGTTCAATTACACAAAAAATTTTTGATAGTTACCCATGGAGTCGCCCTAAAAAAGAGTCTATAGTCCAGGTCATGCTGAGAATACAATTCACTACAAGTATCGATTCCTCAAATTAAATACTTCTTATGTATTCGATAAATTCAAATTAGGTTAAATTTTAGTTTAACTATTGACAAACGCTTCTCTCATACACATAAGCACAAAAATAACAATTAATGACTTGGAAATTAATTTATTAACAAAGTGAGAGATGAAATTATTTTCAAAGTGTTTTTTAATGTTATTTTCCAAATATGACAACCTGTATATTATTTATGATCAGATGCAGCATAAATCTGCATTTGAATATATTTTTCTATTCCCTACACCAACAGTTTCCTTGTTGCCCTGTAATTTCTAATTTTGCTTTAAGAAATAACATGAACATCGCAAACGGTAAAATTAATAACCATATGACATCAAAACACAAAAATTGAATTTAGAACGCAATAATTAATGACAGACATAAAACAACTAGGAAACACAAGAAACAAAAAATACAAAATGAAACTAAATGAAGTGATGACATGGTTGCTTCTATATACCTTTCTTTCAAAAATTTAATACACTCTAGTATTTTACTCTAGTAAAGGTATCGTCAACAGAACTCAATAATTCCTGTCTAGTTCTTTAGTTTGTACAGAGTACACTGTCGGGTGATCTGGATGGCCAGTTCCAGGGTTTCTTAACTTCTTTGAAGTAAATAAAACCAAAAACATATGAAGTAACTAGAAAGAACTTTGGAATTTAATTGATAGAAAATACTAAATAGCACGAAAACTGCTGAAAACAGATATAGGTAAAGGCACATCTAATCTAAACGAAGTCTGGTATCTTCGAAAATTATGGAAGTGCCTGATTAATTTTAAACACTTTGTAAGCGATAAAAAAACAATTTGGATTAAGTATAGGAAAACGGAGTGTTCTATTTAAAATAAGGAAGTTAAGTGTCTTCGACAAAATAAACTCTTATGGAGATATAAGCGAATCCCTCAGTAGTGCACTGGATTTTTATAGATAACAACAAGCGAATACAAAATGCAGTAAATAAAATCCGGGCCGACAGATCGCCAGCGCGTTACGTTTCCTTTTTATATCCCAAAGATTTAAAACATAAAACGGAAATTAACATCGAAATATAATTAAGTAATCGTTAATCTGCGCCATATTTCTAGCTAATTGACGCGATGGTCATATTAAACAGACATTTTCTGTCTATACCGAGAATAGCGACACTGTATCTCATCATGCCAAACGTGTCATAAATTACAATACTGGGATTTAACGTCGTACGGACCACTTGCGTTGGTTAATATTTATCTTACATCCGTTTTTTTCGTATGCTGCGTGAGACATCCTAAGAAGCCTTTTTTCATTGTAAAACCCTAAACGCTAAATCTGCTAAAATTTGACCCCGCCTTTTATAGTTGCTGCAATTTGTTGCATAGATATCGTTTGACATATAGCAATAAAGTTTGCAGGTAATTGAAAATCTTGTGTGTTGCTGTGGTGGAAGGCTCTTGCAATTAAATCACTTGCTACTCCGATAGTCAAATAATTTTTCTAATTGTATTTTCTAAATTAGAAACGAAATTGGCACCCTAACAACTTTGACATTTAATATGCTGGTGACACAAAAGTTACAAGAAAAAAAATGGCACCGACCGCTAAAAATTCCGTGCAAACATTACTAATGAAAAAATACCTTAACCCCATTCAGCGAAAGTTCGTAAAATGCAACAATTTTAACTTATCTTTACATAAATTTAAAATTAATTTTTATAACTTAAATGTAAAATACGTCCAAATACTTACAACCAAGCAAAAGTTTTCAGTTAGCAACAAAAAATATTACAAAAACTACCTAATAAGAAAGCCAAAACCAGTTATTGTCTCTGTTTTCGAGGAATATCAGTAAGTTTCTGTTTTATCGATTTCTCACCAAAAAAAATACATCCTTGAAGTTTTTAAGGTTTCAACTTGACTATCTATAACGGTGTCTCAAAAACGGCAAGCTACCCTGTATCTGAGAGCTTCAGTTAGGACAAAGTTAACAAAATCACGTTTTCTTTGATTTTTTCTATTGAATCGGTGGGAAACAATTTTGATGGAATACCTTGTTGTTATTGGTCGAATTCCAGTCATATGGTTTATTTAGTTAAACTTATAAACAGTGTGTCTTAAATTATAGAAAAGTTACTATTTTTATGCCCTTTGAAGATTATTAAGCAATGTTGTCAATTGCAGGCTGGTTTCTGAGACACAGAGTGATCTGCAAGCTCTTGAAACATAGTTTAAATATGAAAGTTTTTTAATGTTTTTGCCCTCTATGACATGGTCTCTTTAAATGTTATTTCTGACGTTTCCCGTTAACTATTCATTTTTTTAAACGGACCTGGATTTTTTATTTCATATTGATACGCAATTTGCTTCACAGTCATGTACCGAACAAATAGGATTCCTTACGTCTCTCTCAGGAAATTTCATTATCGGAAAATTTAAAAAAATAATTTTCTTAGTTCTATTATTATTATTATATTACTATACTTCATCCTTTACTGTATATTAAATAGGCCCCTTTTTTTGTTAGTAGTTAGTAGATTTTAGAGTTGTTGTTTAATAATAGCATATTATGCAACAAGCGTGGTAAACAGCATTTGGGTCACGAGTGACTTAAAAACTAACCAAAGGTGTGTGTACTATACTTTTTCTACGACCGTTAGTTTTTGGGTGCATTTCTGCAAAACAACACAACAACACTCACTGACATAACCGTCAGAATTGACAAACTTTAAAATTTCTAGTCTAATTAACGACAAATATTTTAATATGGACTCACTATACCAAAATTTCCCAGTGATGGATTTTCCGAAAAGAAACCGCAGGAAATCCCGTTCGTGTGGTACATAGTTGCATAGCAAATTACATTTTTTCTCGATATATGAATTTATCAATGAATATCCACATCAGTATTTAAAAAAAAATTGACAGTGATGGCCAGAACAGACGCCGTCAGAAATGACATTTAAAGATAGATGTTGCAAAGCGCAAAAATTATGAAACTTTCCAATTTTTTCAAGTTTTTCACAAATCGAAAAAATAAAAATTTTGACCTTTGAAGCAGTATTTAGCAAAAAGTCTGTACTTCAAAATATGAAGTGTGCTATATTCCAAAAATATACGGAGTGTTCAGCAGAAAAGTTACGATTTTATAAAAATGCACATTTAGAAAAAACGGCCTATAAGTCTGAAAAGGTAAGGCACATCCAGAAAACTACAGCTTTTTATATAATACTCAAATCTCGAAAATATACAATAGTTTTTTACAACATATTTCATTATTTATTCTAGACCTTAAGCTCACACGCCGCGAAATGATCCGCTGCCGAAAACATGTTCCATTTCATCATCCGGTCAAGCTGATTTACACATTTCCAGAAATAAAATCTCCGAGTTGCTTAAACACCGGCAGATAATTTTTACATTTCACATTTTTACCTTCAGAAAATTTTGAAAGCAGTTCCCTATACACTTTTTTTTGAGATACGGGGTAGGTTAAATGAAATATAAGTTAAGAATTTAGACGCATAATGCCCTGAAGCTACAAAAATTAACAATGTTTTAGCACATTTATTTACAATTTTACAAAAGAAAAAGTTATACAAAAATTGTAGGGTTCAAAAGTAATCTATCTCGTTTTGAGCACGACTCATTTCGTCGAGATCTTTTGGACAATTTTTTTTTATCTGACGGGGCAACATTTTCAAGAGATAAAACTTTTAACTCTCACAACGAGCAATTCTGGAGTCACCAGAGTTATTCCAGAGTTAACGTGTGGATAGGTATCATATTAAAATGTCCTTTTATTTTGCCCATGCTAAGGCTCGCTTGGAGATATTACTCAGCGTAACTGAGCACTATGGGAAGGGTCTAAGAAACTGGTTAGATGAAAATTTTGAAATTTTGTTGGTCCAGTAAATTGGCCAGCTCAGTCGCATAACTTGAACTCACTAGACTACTAGGGTAGTATGTGTAATCCTATGTAACTAAGGTGAATTAATGTTATGCCATTCAATAAGAAATTGCTGATGCATTATTTTTCATAAAATAGTCTGCTAGTGCTATCCAATAAAAATTAACAAACCTATCAATCCGGTTTCAAGGCCTAATTTTCAATATTTGATCGGCATGCTAAAGAGCGTATTTTTAAAATCCATTTTCCTCAAAAAGTTTCATCCTAACGATATCAACGAAGTGTTCTTTTTCTCGTAATAGATCACACATTTTTCCGACATTATATGGAAAAAGTCTAAAAGTCAACCTGCAAAAAAGCTGTTGCAGTTTCTGTTACTCGAACCCCGCCAAATTTTACGCCTTGAAACTTACTAAAGCGCTAAAATTGCAAAACTTTTTATAAATCTACTTCGGAAATATTAATAAAAACAATTTTCAGTCCACTGCGTTTAGGGCATGTGGCTCGGTTAGGTGATATATGTTTAGACAAAAAATTTCGATTTATTTTGGACGTAGAATATACTGCAACAGTTGGCCCACTAATTTCGTGACACCATGTATAAAATAAATTACAATGTCGCAGAATATTTCCGTTCACTGGTCAGGCCAAAAAAACTCGGAAAAATGGTAAAACTAGCCACCACAAATGCGAACCTTTGGGAAACGAAATCCCTAGTCAAAAGTCATTTTGGGACGCCCCGTATAAAACGTCATATTCGAATT